TCCGGTCATTATCGTTGCATGTAGACAGACAGCTGACCCAAATACAGCTACAATGAATGACCCGGCGTTCTATACGGAAGAAGACAGTTAACTTATCAGACGAACCCGGGTGCCGCGGAGGGAGCAGCCATAACCGCGGTTTTTAATTTCTCGTAATTGTACTACTTAGGACGCTTGGGTGCATCCCCACACGCAAATACCACTTCACACACGTTCTCTCTAGTCGGCTCCTTTCCAAATTACGATGGAGAACTGCCTCTTCTCTCTTTTTTTTTTTTTTTTTCCTTCGCCTCTTCATTCTCCTCCTCAATACCTTCGCTCAGAGAACAACATAACCAGACACTATACACGAACATCTGACAGGAACGCTGGCGGAAATACAAAGAACGACCGCCGACGAACAGATGACAGACGACCGCTAGCGGAAACACGACGGACGACCGCTTACGGAAATGAAACATGACGGACGACCGCTAGCTGAAACATGCAGCACTCAATCCACGTACCTCGATAAATTCTTGGTCAAAGACGGCTTTGGCTTCAAAATCAGGAGCCTTGTTTCCCACCAAAGGCTGGCAATGCTGTGCCACAAGACACAATTCGCAGAAACACAGAACACCGTTCGCCCAAAAAACACAATCGTTAGCCTCAAAGGCCCCTCCTTCACGCAACCTGCAAACCTCCGGCAACCAAAGCCACACCTCCGGCAACCAAAGCCACTTCCCACGCATCTCTCTCTCTCTCTCTCTCTCTCTCTCTCTCTCTCTCTCTCTCTCTCTCTCTCTCTTGCGCTGGCGAAGAGGGGTCAGATACATTCGCCATGGCGTTGGTTCGTGCGCTAGCAAAAAAGGGTCAGACGCATTCACCACATGGCGTTGGTTCGTGCGCTAGTGAAAAGGTAGACATTACATGATAGGATAAAAGAGAAGAGAGACTGACAGATTTGGTCCTTTGTCTTCTTCTCTTTGACTGTCGATTATACTCGGCGGCAGCTGCTTTGAGATGGAGAGATAGACATACATGATAGGAGAAGAGAGGAGGAGGTCGAGGGACGGTTGTGCAATTGAAGAAGGCTTGACGCGCGTCTAATCGGTCTGCATCATGAGAGGAGAAGAGTAGAGATGAGAAGGAGAAGAGAACGGGAGAGGAGAAGAGGAGAGAGGACAGGAGTGGAGGAGAGAGGAGAGGAGAAGGTGGACAAGTCGGCTGCTCGGTCGCGTGGAGAAGTCCTCATAATGTGCCGGAGGCAAGCACTGCCCGACAATCGATGGAGGGTGCTTCGGCTGAAGGTAAGCTGTGTGACGTGTACATCATTTAAAAAATCATTCGTTTGGTTTTGAAATTCTTTTTTTGGGGTTGAACTTGTACGGTTTGCTTTTCTTTCACCGCGCATGCTGATCGCAATTTTGGTGATTAAACAAAGACTACGATCACGATGAGAACATTGATGAATGCATGCACAGTCACAGAGAAAGAGAGATGACCCTTGCATTTTCATGCTGATGATCGTGTGTTGATTATGATGATACTTGTGCTGCTCATGCTGATGTAGGATGTTGCTCGTCCCAATCCTACTCTGCTGACACTCGCAGGGGCGGGGCCTTGAGTGCGGGCCTGTGCGTGTCAACAGAGAGAGCGAGAGAACAAGTGAGGATCACATGCATGACGATTTCAAAGGGCGATATAAAATCGTGATCTGACCACTAGAAAACGGCGGAGCAAAAGCGGAGCAAAATCGCTGGCCCACAGTTTGCGGTTACTGTTGATCTGGACCAGCATGCTGATCGAAAGTAACGTCAGCTTTCAGCTGCTCTTCTTACTGGCTGATTCTTGATGTCGATCATGACTATCCTGCTCTTGGCGGTGAAAAACGAGGGAGAGAGAGAGAGAGAGAGAGACTATGAACTGCCGGAAGGAGTATTTGGTCAAGCGACAAGTAAAAGTAGAAAACAGACAACACGGCGTAACTGCGGTCAGATACGTCCAAGGAAGCCCGAGCGTCAGGTGGTCGGGGACGTGACCGCCTTGACGGCAAATGTGGCGGGAAAGAGTGACAGCTGGAATGAGCAAAAGAGAACCTAACTTACCGCTCGGATGTCAAGCGTCTTCGATGACGAGTCCGGTGAAGAAACGGCACCGCACTTGAGGTTCTTCCTTGTGCTGACACGTGGCACAACGTCCGCCGTCAGGCGGGACGCCTTTCCGAGTCCCTCATAGGTCGTCAACTTGACAGCTGGCAACGCGCTCGTAGCAGATCGCCGCTGGCATTGCGTCCCGATCCCGCCATTGTGGGACAACCCTACTGCGGCAGTAGAAAGAGATGCGTGAAGGGTAGTCGCCGCCATCGCTGCAAAACGCCGTCGTCAGTCGGCTGGCGGTGCGACGGCAACTACGGCAGCGGTCCGTCCGTAACTTCGTGCAGCTGAACCGAAGGGAAAACTGGCGCGCCACAACCCTCAGTCTTTTCCTCACTCCCTATTTCTCTACTACTAACCGGCGCGGCATCATGCTACAGCCGTCGTCGTCCTCGATGAAATCGAGGAATGACATGCACTCCACAAGTCGAATAGACGACGTGAGTACCTTTCTACCATTGGTTCCGGTTTTGTGGCCGCAAGTGGCAGCAGTGACTGGGGGGATTGAAGGCAGAACAAAACGCGGAACGAAAAGAGAGATCCACGGCGAGCACAGGACTGACAACAAGATAAGGCAGGGCACAAGCACCTACCTTGGAAATGCTGCAGCAATGTTCACCGTGCCCCCCCCGAAGTTGTCAGCAGGAAGGCCACAAGAAGAGGGGGGAAAATAACAGGCTGGGTGCTGATTCCCCTGGACCCCCACTATAAGGGGGGGGTCCTGAGGCAGCCTTGAAGCAGACCCTTGAAAAGGAGTGCAACAGCAATCTGGGCCCTCTATACCGGTTGGGCCAATCGGGTGCTGAGAAAACAAAGGGCCCAAGGCTGAGGCAGAAGCACCACCTGAACCTTTGGCGCTGACCCGTTGGCGCGGATGGTAACGATGCGAGGAGAAAGTAAACCAGCATTTTAAACCACCAGTACCTCGCCCAGCTATCTATTCCGACCCCGGCAGACCGGTACCCCGACACTTGCCGAGGCTGGAAGTACTGGTAGTACGAAWAAAAAAAMAAAAWAGGARAAAAAAAAAAAAAAAAAAACCGGCTTTCTGCAAAAAAAAAATACAAAAGAAATAAAAAGACGAGCTCATTTGAGTCCACGCGCCATGAGGGAAAAAAAAAAAAAGAAAAAAAAAAGGAGAGAGAACCCACGGCCCCGTTTTGCACAAATGTGCAAAACAAGAATGAATCTTTCGGCCATGCCGCGGAAGATTTATTTTTATTTTGCATTTTGTCGTGTGTGTGTGTGTGTGTGTGTGTGTGTGTGTGAGAGAGAGAGAGAGAGAGAGAGACGGCGAGTTTGTCGCGGGGCCCCGCGAAGTTCACCCTCTCTCTCTCTCTCTCTCTCTCTCTCTCTCTCTCTCTCTCTCTCTCTCTCTCTCTCTCTCTCTCTCTCTCTCTCTCTCTCTCTCTCTCNCTCTCTCTCTCTCTCTCTCTCTCTCTCTCTCTCTCTCTCTCTCTCTCTCTCTCTCTCTCTCTCTCTCTCTCTCTCTCTCTCTTTTCTTTTTTTTCCATTCGTCCCCACGCGTCCGTATGGAGCCGTTGTTTTTTTCTCGTTTTCTTGGTTTTTTTGCACAATCGATTTTTTTTTATTTTATTTTTTTTTGCTCTTTTTTTTTCTTACCGGTCGTTGGCTTCCCCGATCGTCATTCGACGCGGCGCGTTAACGGCCGCGTCGGAGATTCATAGTTGGGCGAGATATTGGTGGTTTAATTGCTATGGCAGGGTAACTCTAGGATTTTCTTCTCGACGGATTTTCAACGTCATTGCTGCGAACAAAAATGGAAAAATAGTGAGAAACCTTCAATTTTTCGTTCGCGCTTACAGCACGAAAGCAAGTGTAAGTGATAGGACTTTTCACCATCAGGTATTTGTCTTCTCAACCATAGCTAATTTCGCCTTCATTCGTTGTAACCCTGTTGTTTTATCCATTTTTTAAAGTTGACCACTGACTTTTACTGCTATTGATAGTAGTCATAAATATATGCTTACCTCCAGCCTTGTATGTCAATTTGACTAAACAACAAGCGTCTTCACCCAAAAATAACGTTCGAGCGTTATATACGAATATATCGTGGGCGGGCGTTCTATTCGTTTATAACGCACTGGCGTTATATTATGTCAATTGGTGGCAACTTCGGTGGGGGCCCAAAAATTTAAAAAAAAATCAAAAAAATTATAAAAATAAATGTTCTCCAAAATTGCAATACGACCATCTTTTGGTTGAGGGTCACTACATAATTTATTATGAACTCAAAAAAAAAAAAAAAAATGAAAACAAAAAATCAAACCGAAATATCATTCAAATATGCCCCTTGGAAGTCAAAATCAGTTTCAACCCCTTTTAAAAACCATATGAACCCTCCTCCCCTCCCTTTCAAACCCATATATACTACCTCGATAAGGCTATGCTAACAGAACATTCAAATACAACGCTCACGCTTTCTATTCAAATATAATGCCCGAACGTTTTATTCGAAGGGACGTTTTATTTGACAATAAAAAAATAAAAATAAAAACCTGATTTTTTTTTTAAAGTTTAATATAATGACAGGGCATTATTTTCGGGTGAAGATAGTAGCACCAAACTCCAATTGAAAAATACCCAGAGGAATAACAAACATGAAAAAGAAAAAGGTTACTGACACTCGACGCCTCATACCACTCACTAACCACCACAATTTTTTCACAATAACTTTCCTTTTATATTCAAGAATTGTCACTTCATCACTAAGTTCCTTTTAGCAAAAAGTCAGTTACGATACGAAACTTACAATGGATGTACAAAAAAAAAAACTCGCACAAAAAAGGTAGCGATCTAGTGGAAATATCATATTAGTTGCGAGAATTAGGATCGTCGGTTTCCTGATGTCGAACTTGGAAACGCAGTATGGAAAAATGTTGACCTACGTACTCGAGAACGAAAGTAGAAGCAAACGGGTTGAAAAATTAACAGTACGTAGAAATGAAACTGAGCAGCGAGAGTTGAGAGTATAAAGGTCAGATATTATACAATTTTATTCAATGATCATTATTCGAATAAAAAACTTCGAACTCAATATTTTCCTATTTTTCAATTTCAAACCAATAATAATCAATGTGCGGGTTCGTGAGTCGAAGAATTAACTTACGTTACGAAACTCAACAATAGAAAATTCTTACTATTAGAAAACTGTTAAAGTAGTTTCCCACACACTCTAAGTGTAATTGACTGTTATTCATCAAGAAGACAACCAGATGTGAACAGAGGAACAAAAAAAACGAAAAAAAAACAGAGGAAAGATGAAAAAAAAAAAAAAGTTAAAAAGAAAAATGTGGAAAAAGGAAGGACGTAAACAAATGAGCGAGCGCAAGCGCCGCTGAAGCCAAGAAGAATATGCATGATGTCATGCATCCACATACACACCAAAACACTCTTCATAGGCAAGAAGCCCAATCGAGGGGCCACGTAAGAAAATTAACATTAAGCACGTTTACATCACCAGCCTCCGCCCGCCATACCCATCTCCGAATATCTTCGTCAAAACCCGAGCATCCACTCTCACACTGGCGATGTTCTGGCTTGTCCATGTACGTTTCAACTGGCGCCAGATGCCAGTATCCTCATGGGGTAGGCGACCCTCTTTGGTATGGAGTGGAGGAGAACAACTGTTTCAGTACAGTTGATCCCCTCCGACCTGCCTAGCCTATCTCCCTGAACCTTTCCCACTCTGGTGCCTTCCGTCCCACGAACCGTCCCAAGGTCCCCTTGAAAAATTCACTGGGGTACCTAAGAAGCCTCAGTTCCCTACTTAACGACAACAGGGGCATTTCCGCTAGTTCGGCTGTCGTCGTGCAGGCCCGAATCCGTGCCAAAGCGCTACTGATTACCCATTTTTCTGCCTTTTATCCGAATACGACTCGAAGCTCTGCATTGACCGGTACGTATACCTTTCCGACCAAACGTCCTCCTCGTTTTTCCCTTTATACCGAATCTCGACTTTGTTTGGTTCCTTTCTAATTCTTAACTCACAGCCCAGGAACGTCCAGGTTCCCTCCCCCCATCCGTCCTTTTGAGCTGCAGGTTTCTATCATTACTTTCCTCATTACACCTTCCGCTCTCTCCCTCCCTTTCCTCGTCGGCCCTTCCCAGACAAAGACCGACAGGTTGTCGACGAGTCGAACCCCCTGGATTAGTGCCCTGTCCTTCCCTAGTGAGCCGAGAAATGTTGCCTCGTTAAAAATACATAATAAACAGGCCATGGGTGGGCTGCTACTTTTCTCCATGGGCACCCCTTTTTCCTGCCTGAGCAATCTCCCCATTGCAATAAGATCTACGTGACATGACAGGGAGGGCTCTCAAATTTTGCGAGAAAAATGGGAACCCATTTGCTCGACAATGTTTGACTTTTTGCACATTTTTTTGCCCTATATCTCAATAAATGGTTAAAAACGTTTTTTGTCAGATATAAAAGTTTGACTCAAACGTTTTTATTTTATACAAAATGTTGGGTTATGTCGTTTTGTTAGGTTTACATGAAACCTGTATTCTAAGAGAGTTGCTGCATGTGGGGTTGACTCCACTTTGGTTTGAAAATTATAGTGTATATTACAATTTTGTTTTGAACTATTTCGTTAAAAACGGGATTGATATTGCTTGATAAAGAATAACATTTTCTAATAATTTATAAATATATGCTCAAAAGGTTTACGGTGAGCAGGATTGGTCTCGTATTAGGAATGATGTTGGTTTTTTACCTTGAGTTAGAGTCAACCTTTATCTTATTGGTAAACCTGGTGCTGAAAAAATTATTCTGTGTAAAACCTCACTTGAGGATTTCAAAAGGTTGTGCTATCTGATGAAAGTTTTTGTTCGAGTTGAAAAATTTTCACTTAAAATCACATTTCAAGAAGATAAAGTTAACTATGATTATTACATTGAATCTCTAACCCAACTTCAACCAGTTTTCTATTTGCTAAGATAAAGGATTCCGATTTAGAAAAAAAAAAAAAAAAAAGTTATCGTCCTCATCACCGTAATTAATACTATGAGCTTTTGTGCATGATCAATCCCATAGTTTTAAGAAAAATGAAAAAAAATTAATCTATGTTGAACATCAATTACAATATTCCCCCAAACAAAACACATGTATGTACTATTCAATTTTCCTTGGAAAAATCAAATTTCTTAAAGTAAAAAAAAAAAATCCAAATAGTACGTACGTTGAAATAGTATGCACGTATGTTCTATTTAAATAATATGTACGTTATAAGGCGCATCAACTCCATTTTTTTCACAGAAAGAAGGAACCCTCCCGACTATGCCGCAGAAGAGTTAAAAAAAAAAATGGAGACAACATGGGGCCAACGCATAGACAATTCCCAGGAGCCGCCGAAACGGACACAGTCACATTGCCACCTCGCCGCCCTAACCGTACCTCTCG